CTGTCCAATCCTGCAGCGCTGACTGGCGGAACGGACGGGGGGAGGGGGCGGGTAGATAGGCAGAGCCAGCTGTCACTCAAGCAGCTGGGTGGATCCAGACAGTAATGTCGAGATCCGTCCCGGCGGCGGCGTCTCAGTATACCGCGAGCTGTAGCTCGCGGTATACTGAGCTTTGGGTCACGGGAGGACGCTAGTTTGTGTCCTCCCATTACCCTTAGGAGAACTATGAGGAAAAGCCCTGACCCCATAGTTCTCCTTTGACTTCCCACAGCCCCCTCCATTTTATTACATAGGGGTGTGTGCGTGTGTGTGTGCGTGCGTGCGTGCGTGAATTTGAGTCTCTAACAATCCCCACTGTCCTGTACTGTATATTATTATTCCTGAGGAAGACATATAAAAGTATTATGAACAATCTCGGCTAGTAGCACTACCTGGGGAAAGGAATTCCACATCTCGCTGCTCTAACAGTAAAAAAAAAAACGTCTGCGATCTAAGGTTACATTTTTCTTTCTTCCAACCTCAAATTGTGACTGTGTGTCTTCTTCAGAGACCTTCGAGTTTATTCCAGGTACCATATTCACCTTTGCTATGTTTATACCTTGTGCTCATATCCTCTTCTCCAGAGTGAATAAGTGTAATCATTCCTCACAGTTGAGCTCCTCCAAACCCCCTTATTCATTTTGTTGCCATTTACTGAACTCTTTTTTTTTTTTTTAATTCATGGACATCTTTCCTGAGGATTGGTGACCAAAACTGAAGCAGTGTTTAGTGAAGGGGTAACAGTGCCCTCCTAACGAGTACCATGCATGCATCATTTTGGCACAACTTTTTATTTCTCGATATTGAATGTCATCTGCCTTGTAGCAGCCCAAACCCCAATGTTATCCGGATCTCCCTGTAACGTTACTACATCCTGTGCAGGATTTCCAGACATAAGTCGTGTCATCAGCAAACACTGAGATTGAACTCTTAAAGAAGAACTTTGGGAAAGTATAAAACGTACCCTTGCAGTGGGGCTACTACAGGTGTGTCTGCTTCATTTGAGCCCCCTAGACAAAACAAGCATTTTACCCTTGTAGTGCCTAGACAAAAGGAGCATTTAACCATTGCAGTGCCGGGGTAGCCCCACTACAAGGATACGATTTTTACATTTCCTTCTTTAATTCCAACCTCAATATCATTCATAAACATATTATTTTGAACGTTTTTTTATTTTATTTTGCGTCATTTGTTCAAAGTTTTATACCGTTTGTTTGTTTTTTAATTGTGAAAAAATGAAGAGCGCCCTAATGTTGTAGTTTGTCTTTTTTTTTCTGCCTTTACTTTCAGCCCAGTTGTGCTTCAGCTTTTGGAGTTGGCGGACACAAGTACCCCGTTGTTGTGTCCCGCAGGGCAGTTGTACCTCCAGGATGTCGGTCATTGGCAGAATGCTGGCCGCACAGCAAGGATAGGGCATCGGGCCCCTCTCCACGGATGACTGCACCAAGATGCACTAACTGGAAGTGAAGGAATAACAGTGGTATGACTCCAACTTGCTCTGCTGTCCCGAGAATAACAAAACTCTTCTCTCCTCTCTGTATATAAAACATTCGATAAATCAGGTCATTTAAAGGGGAAGCGTTCATTTCTAAGATATAAATGTCAATATGATAAGCTTAATCTACATAATCAAATTATTGAGGTTTTTTTTTTATTTGTTTTTATATTTATATGTACATCAGGGCAGATATAGTTGTAAGACTCTCTATAGGGCTAATTGAGCTTATCTCAGGGAGCTTGTGTCTTCTGAATCAAAAGCAGAACGACCAAAATCAATCAAACAACCAGATCTGGCCCTGATTCTGGGTGCACTAAGGTCTGAGTTAGAGGTCTAGCTTGCCCCGTGACATCCCGCAGTTCATCTGTGCTTCGATTCAAAAATCAATATTTGCTGCCTTGTGGCATCAGCCGCTGCTGGGTTGTCCTGGATCAACATGCCCATAGATCATGTGAGCTGATACATTGTTTACCTTTATATTTACTTTCATTAACCACTAGATCTATAAAACTTAGACTTAGTACACAGCTGCCAAGAATAGAGCAGCAAGCCAAGGTGGATTTACACTCAGCTGTCATGTCCTGAAGGGAAGAGAGGGTAAATCCCCCATAATAGGGGCACGGGCATCAATAGAAACCTGACAGAGACTCCAACCCTTCTATATTCAAAATAAAATACAATGAAAGGCTTTGGCTTTAGTTGGCCAATAAATTGTACCTGAGGCCATGTTATGGACATTGAAGTAATCAAGCTTTGAAACAAGCTCTCGCTGACATTTGTAGCTTCTGGCACTGTGGAGCAATTAAACCTAAAAGTTCACAGCAGAAGCTCTGAAGCTTCTTTAAGGCTGGGTTCACACCTAGGCGTATCGAATATGCGCGTTTCGTGGTAAAAAAAACGCACAACAAACGCGTGTTTCCGAGGGCTACTTGGCTGTATCCCAATGGAAACGCGCAATAAAAATGCCCCAAAGAAGCTCCTGTACTTCTTTGGGCGTAGGGTGTTTTGTAGCGCGTTCATACGGCCTGTAATACGCTCTGGAACGCATGCAAACGCATCAAAAATGCTCTGGAACGCACTGAAAGCCCATTTTAAACACAAAATATATATTTTTTAAAACCAAAAATGGCCTGGGACGCATCAAAAACGCGGCACAACCCACTTCACTGCGTGTGCAGAAACTCATGCAGATCTGAACAAGGCCTTAGCAGCTCAGCTTCTCCTGCTCCACACACCCATAGCTCCTGCTTTGTGTTTCTACATTAGAGAGTAAAAGACTGCTAACTTACTGCTGGGAGGGGGGAGCAGGAGAAGGAGAGCCGGGACTCCGCAGCAGTGACTCCGCAAGGTTGGTTTATTGGTTCTGGTCTTAGGTCTGTCATGCATTTGTTCTGGTCTGAGGTCTGTTGTACGTTCGTTCTGGTCTGAGGGCTGTCATGAGTTGGTACTGGTCTGAGGTATGACATGCGTTGTTTCTGGTCTGAGGTCTGTCATGCATTGGCTCTGGTCTGAGGTCTTCCGTGCGTTGGTTCTGGTCTGAGGTCTGTCATGCATTAGTTCTGGTTTGAGGTCTGTCATACATTGGCTCTGGTCTGAGGTCTTCCGTGCGTTGGTTCTGGTCTCAGGTCTGTCATACATTGGCTCTGGTCTGAGGTCTGTCATGCATTAGTTCTGGTCTGAGGTCTGTCATACATTGGTTCCGATCTGAGGTCTTCCCTGCGTTGGTTCTGCTCTGAGGTCTGACGTGCGTTGGTTGTAGTCTGAGGTCTGTCGTGCATTTATTCTGGTTTGACGTGCATTGGTTTTGGTCTGAGGTCTGTCATGCATTGGTTCTGGTCTGAGGTCTGCCGTGCATTTATTCTGGTCTGAGATCTGACTTTGTTGGTTCTGGTCATGGGTGGACTGACCATTCTGGGGCTTACCGCATGCACTGGGGCAGGGGGGATATGTGCCCATGCCACCCCCCGCTCTGGTGCCTGCAGTATGCACCCCCCACTCCACTCTGTATGACTAATTTGATTTATGTTAATGTACTGTACTATTGTGCATTTTTTTTACTGTTTTACTTTTACTGCCCCATTAAAGGGGCATCCCTTCTCCATGCTTATTGGGACAACTGTCTCATTTACTAGCTTAACAATTGACTTAGTTTTGCATTAAAAACATTGAATTCAACAATAATAATAACTTATAGTGATCCGCAACCAGTCCTGTGATTTTAATACCCCCCTGTTTTTCCAGCTCTGACACAGGACCACAGCGCAGTGACATTAGACTTAAGCAGGCATCCCAACCTGAATGCAGGAGAGGGCACCTCCCTGAAATGATGGCAGATAGAAGAGAGGCTATTGCTTCCCCTGCTATCTGCTGGATTTTTTTTTTTAGTATTCTGACACCTGCTGCACTCAGAATAATAATAAAAAAAGCAATGGACAGCATGTAAATGAATAGCAAGGCTGCTATTAGCTATTTCAATTTGCAATAGCCAATAGCAAGCTGGCTATTGCACCCACCTTCTGCTGCTGTCAATCAGCAGAAGGGGGACCTGATGGAGAACTTCAGGTCCACCTCTGCTGATTGACAGCTAAGAGCAGACTAGCTATTCCTTCCTATGCTGGTTTTTTTTTTTACATCGGGGCCTCTGGCTGCCAGTCAGAGAAAAACGTTTTTTCTTTTTTTCTGTGACTGACGGAAGCCTGCGGCCCCGATGTAAAAAAAAAAACAACACAGATAGCAGGGAAAAGTTTACTCTGCTCAGAGTAAATCTTTCCGGGATGAAATGTTTCTCTCCAGGGTGTCCGGGAGCCGCTATCTAATAGCGGGAGACTCCGGGAACATCCGGGAGAGATGAGATGTTTGCTTAAGTTAACCTTTCTATATTTTTGTAACTTACTAAAACACTGACAGGTCTGTTTACTTACAGGGTATGTTGGTGGGAGATTTTCAGGATCATTTTCAAATCTCGACGATTTGGAAAGTGACCTAAATGGGAGATATTTTCTGGATCGGCTATTGTGACCGAGATTCTTCCGTTCCTCTGTCAATTCTCCTGCTAGTTCTCCCGCATAATATTTCACCGCGGATCATTTGTCAGAATGGAAGAATCTCGGTCACAATAGCCAAACCAGGAAAATTCTGCCATTGAGCTCACTTTCCAAATCGTCTATATTGGTGGAGATTTTGAGATTCTCCCACCAATATACCTATTGTAAAATAAATTGGGAGAAATCATTTCTGCAACACAAGAATGTGTATGCGGGTGAGGATTGTAAATGGGTGGGGCTTGTATATGGGCAGGGCACAAGGGGGCCCCATAATCTTGTATTGCCCGGGGCCCCATGTGTTGTCAGTCCGCCCCTGCTCCTGGGCCTCCCACAGCACAGGACCAGAGAGAGAGAGAGACAGAGAGACAGAGAGAGATTGAATTGTTCCTGATCACTCCACAATCTCTCTGCATTTACTTCTGGAAGGGTTGCGGAATCCCAGGCTGCAGCTGTACAGGGATGGGGACTTCTCAGGAAACACTAGAGGATGATGAGAAAGTCTACCTGAGGAGGAAGATAACTCTGACCCGAGCCATCACCTTAACAGTCGGCACCATCATTGGAAGTGGTATCTTTATATCTCCTAAAGGGGTCCTGAAGAACTCTGGCAATGTGGGGCTCTCATTGATCGTCTGGGGGGCCTGTGGGGTCCTCTCCATGTGTGGTGAGTACTGTGTTTTAAATTGTCGCTCCATCCGAAATGACAATTTCAGTTTTGGGAGGGCACTGATAGTTTACAGTGACAATCAGCTTTCTGTAGCTTTCACAGACGTTGGTGGGTGAATTCTCTGTACCTGAGATCCCAACTCCACCCGCCTGCTGCAACCCTTACAATTTTGTCTTATTTGTTGCATTTTTCATGGTTTTTGTACTGTAGAAAATGCAGCAGGGGGAGTGAGACTGCATGTCATGGGTGAGCATGTGGTCAATATTTAAGTGCCCCCTACATTGGTGGTCAGGGTGAAATGTCTACTTACATTGGTGGTCAGGGTGTAGTGCCCACTTGCATTGATGGTCAATGGTGAAGTTACCCTTACATTGGTGGTCAGGGTGTAGTGCCCACTTGCATAGATGGTCAATGGTGAAGTTACCCTGTACATTGGTGGTCAGGCTGTAGTGCCCACTTACATTGGTGGTCAGGCTGTAGTGCCCACTTACATTGGTGGTCAGGCTGTAGTGCCCACTTACATTGATGGTCAATGGTGAAGTTCCCCTGTACATCGGTGGTCAGGGTGTAGTGCCCACTCACATTGATGGTCAATGGTGAAGTTCCCCTGTACATTGGTGGTCAGGCTGTAGTGCCCACTCACATTGATGGTCAATGGTGAAGTTCCACTGTACATCGGTGGTCAGGGTGTAGTGCCCACTTACATTTATGGTCAACGGTGACGTTCCCCTGTACATCGGTGGTCAGGGTGTAGTGCCCACTTACATTTATGGTCAATGGTGAAGTTCCCCTGTACATCGGTGGTCAGGGTGTAGTGCCCACTTACATTTATGGTCAACGGTGACGTTCCCCTGTACATCGGTGGTCAGGGTGTAGTGCCCACTTACATTTATGGTCAATGGTGAAGTTCCCCTGTACATCGGTGGTCAGGGTGTAGTGCCCACTTATATTGATGGTCAATGGTGAAGTTCCCCTTACTTTGGTGGTCTGGGTAAAGTGCCCCTTACACTGGTGGTCAGTAGTAATGTGCTTCTTACATTAGTGGTCAGTGAGGATGTGCCCCCTTACTTTGGTGGTCAGTGATGAAGTGCTTCCTTACTTTGGTGGTCAGTGGTTCAGCACCCCTTTCAATTGTGGTCAGTGTAGAGTGTCCCTCACATTAAAGCTAAAGAGATACAGTGGCGTTAAACAGATATTTGGTGTTAGTAGTTACCTGGGAGGGCACTTCTGTCTGTGGCTCTCGAACTTATTCGATACGCCTAGGTGCTCACCCAGCCTTACACAAGTTGAGTTTTGGGGTATGAAACGAATATTGTCTATGAAGACAGGATGAAGCTGTGTGGAATATTTGTGGGCGAATGCAGTGTGATTTGCTGATATAGGAATACTGCTTTAGTTTACTGTTGCTTTAGCAGGTATGTTGGCAAGCAGATAATAATATTGTTATGTGCTCAAGGTTTGCTGTTAGCTCAATACAAAAGAAAAGAAAAATAAAACAAAAAGGGGAACAGAAAAGGGAGAAAAAGAGAAAGCAAATGATCTTTTGGAAACAATTTCACATGTTTACCAAATATAATTGAATAGTATAATCTGCTTTCCCTGTTTTGGGACTAGTTTGAGGAGGATCAATAGGAGAACCTTCCCTGTGAAAAAAAAAATATGTTTGCCTGGCATGTTACTGCAGACCATGAGACCTTGTGAAAATACCTTAGATTGGAACATGTAAGATGCTGCACAAGGGGCGTGCGGTCAGGGGAGGCAGGTGAGGCTGAGCCTCACCTAGAATTATGAAGAAAAAAGGTGTCGGCTTCAAGTCTGAAACTGACAGCTTCTTCTCCATTCAGAGCGGCTTCTAGCAGGTTACAGAGCAGGGAAATCCTCCCCCCTGTGTAACCAGTCATGGACGGAGCACTGCCTGTTAATTACATGCGGCGCTGCATCCGGCTTTTGGCAGCTAAGTTAGGTTACACAGCAGCAGGCTTCCCCACTGCTTGTGCAACCAAACATAGTGAGGCCAGAGCTGCAATAGCCTCTACTCTGTGTTAGAGGCTTGAGCTCCGTGGATGGTTTGGGCCAGTGGCAAAGCGCTATTGGTCAAAGCTGTCCAATCAAAAAAACGAAACCCCCCCACTAAGGACATGGATCTCAATGCCTCACCAGTGACGAGCAAATGAGAGACAGGGAGGCTCCTCCCTGTCTCCTCCCTTCCTCCTCCACACATAGATGGTGACCGGGTTGGGGCTTGGGGTGTCAGTGGGCTGGGTTAGGGGCATGGTGGGCTGGGGCGGGGGGAGTGCCTTACCCAGCATGGAACCCACCACACGTCACTGGCAAACACCACCCACTACAGGCTGCTTGCAGAAAACTACAGACCAGAGACAGGACCAGTCACTCTGCACAAGAAGAGGGAGCAGCAATGACTGGTCTTTAATACAGGAAGCTCCTGCACAGAGGGAAAGTGTGACACTGGATTACTGTACCAATCTGGAGGAAATACACAACGCTCTCCAAGACTCAAGTATGAATTCACATGACTTTTGTATTTAGACAATATTTGCTTATCTTGGAGTTCAGCTTTAAATATATAAAATATATGTCCTTGGGAATTACTTTGAAATATTAAAGGTCATGAGAGATGTTAGTGATTGGGTTTTACATTGACTATAACAGATCCGTCATGCACACCGGATATTACAATAGCATTCATGCATTCCTCTAATGAACATACATTCAGAGGGGCTGATTTCTAAATCTTATGCTCCTCGGCGCCATCTAGTGGCAGAGTAGAACTTGCAGGCTGCTCATGTGCTCTATATGTTACGGCAAACGGGCAGTGTGCGCGTGCGCACACTGGCCCGTTCGTCAGTTGTCGAACAAGCAGGCCACTCACTCACCGAGAATTGTACGATTCCCGGCGGGTTTTCCAGCCTGCTTGTTCGATGGAAGACGTGCGACCGTACAGTAGAAACGGTCGCACGCCTTCCATACACTGTACGATTCTCGTACGATCGCGGGATTTCCCGCGATTCTCGTACGAGAATCGTACAGTGTATGGGCACCTTAAATCTCCTCCAATGTGTAACATGATGTCTGTCTCTCTTGTGTGATCCAGGGGCCTTGTCCTATGCCGACCTTGGCACGACCTTGAAGAAATCCGGCGGCCACTATATCTTCTTGCTGGAGACTCTGGGGCCCGTCCCTGCCTTCCTGAGGCTGTGGGCTGAATTTGTTATGATCAGGTAATGCACCCAATGTCACACATTTAAATATGGGAATGCTAGATGTCTGGCTGTCATGCTGTATCCAGAACTCTAAAAAAAGTTTGGGCTGGAGTTCGCACCCTAATTGCATATGTACATACTGTATCTGCTCATGGCATATACTGTACACACAGGGGGGAATTTATCAAAACTGGAGCAAACAGAATCTGGAGCAGTTGCCAATGACAACCAATCAGCATCTTTCTTAAGTTTGCACAGGTAAGATTTGAAAATGAGAGAGAGAAGCTGATTGGCTGCAGTGCAAATTTGCTCTAGATTTTGTCTGCTCCAGTTTTAATAAATTCCCCCCTTAGTGCTTCCTGTTTTGGAATTCAACACAGTGACTGCTGCTCTTAATTCACTGCAATTATGTGCATCTCCTCAGACCCATAAAGATGTGTTGAAACCAGTCCACTGTCTCATTGGCTTATCTTGCAATTGGTTCTGTTTACGAAGCTATTTAACAAGGATGCTGACTGGGATATCCGACTTGCACATATCCACAAAACGAGGGAGCTGTAATCTCCATACTCTGTAAATTTTCACTAGAGATTTACTTTAATCTTAATTATCAATCATCCTCACTGGGCCATATAAAAAGTGTTCAAAGGCAGAATTGCCCATAGCAACCTGCTCTTTTTTTTCTTCTTTCAGGCCCATTTACATTTTCACATTCTCATGTGAATGGGCTGCCTTCACGTGATGCATTAACATGCGTTGATATAAGGCAGCCCATTCATAGCGTTACTGCAAAGCAATGGTGTGAATGGGTGAGGCCCCGTTCACACCAGGATGGTTCGATCGCGCGGATTTGTCCGCGCTGAACTGCCGACATGAACGATCTCATACATTCCCATGGGGACCGTTCATGCAATCGCATGGCTCCGCAGGATCCGAACCGCCTGCCGCCTGAATTGCCCCCTGAGCCTTTTTTCCCATGCTGATCAGCGTGGGTTCCATACAGATTTGAATGGAAACAATCTGCGTGTTTTGGGGCGTTTTTAATTGCGTTTCAGCGCTAAAACGCAAATAAAAAAAAAAAAAACGCCTTTTTAAAATCTGCACGGAAACCGTGCTAAAACCCATCCGCCTTGGTGTGAATGGGGCCTTAAGCATGAGAGAAGGAAAGGAAGGATGCTGTTGTCATGGCAACAAAAAAAGTCCCATTGTTCTGCATGTTCTAAGATTTAGAAATCTGCCCATTGCAGCCAATCAGATTATTCTTTTTTTTTTTTACCAGCACAGGTAATTGGTTTCTTTTTTTTTTTTTTTTAAATAACAATCTTTATTTTCCAAAGTACAGTGATACAGAAAAGCACAAGCACAATGTCTGATAACATGGCTCATGAATTATACTAGTCCTACATCATGTGCATTAGCCTATATGGCTTCAGATTTATTGTTAAAAGAACAAAAACGTTTCAAAAATCAAACAACATAAAATAATAATAATGTTACATACTCCATAGTGTGGTCTCGGAGGGGATCGGAGTAACGAGATAGAAGAGGAGGGAGGAGAGGATGCGCGACTCCGCGCAAACTCAGCGGCCGCTCATCCTCTCACCCCAAGTCTACCTCGGCATAGAGGCATTAGTACACTTGTTATGGCTCATATACTTGCAGGTGAGTAAAGTAGAATAGAGCTGATGCTATCAATAAAGTCAGTGCGCTTCCTCATTGAAAACGTTAATAGAATCAATGTAGTGAGAGATGTACACTAGATCGTCCCCATCAGTCTTCCCTACATCTGCTGTTCATTGCCTTCCCTGCACTTTTTCCAAAAAGCGACATGATGAGAATTTAAAGGGGTAGAGCAGTTTTTCGCTCTCGGATGGAGAGAAGAGAAGACAAAGGTCATATAGGGCATCCACCTGGTGTAGAATGTAGTTACCCCCGTTCTCATTTTGTACGTTCGTGGCAGCATCTAGTATGTCCAAATGGAACAGGTTCAGTAGGTCAACTCTAAGTCTCTATATTGTGTGGGGGGGGAGGCGATAGCCGTTCCCAAAGGATACAGCGTCTAGCCACTAATAAAGAGATGCTCACCCATTGTCTGTCGAGCGGTAGCCCTGTAATATCTTCCCAACAATGTCGTCAGTTTCTCCCATCTGGTTAGATTTGAGTTTGATAAAGGGGACAAAGCAGCTTGCCGCAGGTAGGACAAATAGCTGATATGGAGTTTGTATCAGCAGTGATAATTCTTTCCATTGGTGTTCTAATCTAGGGATGAGCCGAGTGTTCGAATCGAACATGAGTTCGATTTGAACATCGGCAGTTCGAGCGCTCGCCGAACTATATGGGATGTTCAGTTTGTTTGATCGCGGACATTCCATAAGGCAAAATGCCCTCTGAAGCTCTGATTTTTTCAAAGTCTTGCACCTGACCATAGGTCAGGTGCAAGACTTTGCCCAATCAGGGCTCAGTATTGAATTAGAGCCATGATTGGGCAAAGTCATAATGACTCTGCCCAATCATGGCCTGCCTATCAGATGTCGGTAAACTACACAATTGGGCGGAGCTAGCTGTGACAGCTAGCTCCGCCCAATTGTGTATGTTTTGCCGGCATCTGACAAAATGCCATTATGCGGCGGGAGCGGATGGGACAGCGGGTTTAAAAAAAAATTATTTCTCTTTTTTTATTTTGTCGTCGTCGTGGACAACGCTACAAGTACCCCTTACTCATTCACAAAGGAGGAGGCGGTATCGGGGTGCCCCCTTAATTAAAGGGGTACCTCGATGCAAATAAGCCCCCTTGCCCGCAGACCCCCACAACCACCAGGTCAAGGTTGTGGGGACAAGGCCCTTGTCCCCATCGGCATGGGGACACCCTCCCAGTGCCGAGGGCATGTGGCCTGGTGTGGGAGGGAGCGGGGGGGCGCTCGCTCGCCCCCCCCCTTTCCGGCCCTCCCAGGCCTATGCTCGGATCAAGGGTCTGGTATGGAATTTAAAGGGGGATCCCATCCCAAGACCTTAAGGGCCTGCTATGACTTTAAGGGGGAACCCCACACACTTATTTTTTTGTTTTTGTATATGGGGTCCCTCCTTAATATTCCTACTAGATCCTAAGGGCCTGGTATGACTTTTAGGAGAAACCCTACACAGTTTTTTTTTTTTAAATTGGTCCCTCCTAACATTTACCTACCCGATCTAAAGGGTCTGGTATTGTTTGGGGAGGGGAACTGCACACTTTAAAGGTGCCCATACACTGCACGATTCTCGTACGAGAATCGTGGGAAATCCCACGATCGTACGAGAATCGTGCAGTGTGAATGAAGACGTGCGACCGTTTCTACTGTACAGTCGCACGTCTTTTCTCTAAGTAGCATGCTAGAAAACCAGCCGAAAATCTTACGATTTTCGGCTGGTTTGAATGATGCTCAGGAGACAAATGCCGAACAGGCCGGTGTGCGCACTCGCACACTGCCCATTCACCATTGCGGTCATTGGAAGCCGGCCCCTCAGGGGGGCGGGCTTGCGATGATCGCAAGTACGATCTCCCTGCCCAGGATGGGCAGATCGTACATTTTTTAAATTACTTTACAACCATCGCAAGACTGGTTGTAAAGTGTATGGCCACCTTAAGAGAAAAAAAAAAATTCATTTTTTTTTTTTAGAAATGTCAGTTTTGCTGCAGCAGGTTCTATACATCCTACAGATCCGCCACTTCACAGGCAGGTTAAGGGGACCCCTCATGCATGATATTTGAAGGAATTTTTCATTTTTTCTTTTACCCTTTAAGTGATGTTAAAATCACTGCTCCATTTTTTGTTTGTTTTTTTGGCATTGATACCTGTCCCCCAGGGCAGTACACGGACCCCCATACACCATTTATGCCCAATAACTTGCATATAAGCCCTCTTAAAGGGGACATTAATTTTCGACCGTTTGACCCCCATTGACTTGCATTGAGTTCAAGTTCGTATTCAAACTTTTCGGCCGTTCGAATGTTCGAACGGGGGTGTTCGGCTCATCACTATTCTAATCAGTTGCTGGGAAAGAGTAGGATTGAGCTTTTTTATGTGGGCAATGGTTCAGGGGCAGATCCAGAGTCTAGTCTCGGGGGGAATAAGCACCCCCCATCTGGCTCTTCCACTGCTACTGTGCCACCCCTTTCCTCTCTCACTGTCACCAGTCAGCATGACCGGACTATCGGCCTTGCAATTTATGTTAACATTTTTTGGGGACAGATAGAGCTTTCTTTTGGAGGTATATAATCACCATGGGGGAAGGGGTGTTATTTTTTTTACTATATAATGAAAAAAGTACCGTAAATGTAAAAAAAAAAAAAAAGTTTCCCTACGTTCTGTTATAAAACATTTATTCTTACCCATATTTTTGGTAAAACATAAAAGGCGGGATCGAGTCGGGTAAATAGACATCAAACATGTCAAGCCTTAAAATTGTGTGCGGCCGCAAAATCGCAAAAAACGCCCACAGGCCAATAGGCGACACTTAAACCGCTTTTACTGTTCATCAGTTTAGTGTTATCAGTGATTAATGGCCCTAAAATTATTGCTCTCACTGCGACGTTTGCGGCGATATGTAACATGTGTGGCACAATAGACGCAATCGTCGTTTTTGCACATAGGCGCACC